TTTGATCAGATCAATAGTTTTCAAGTTATGATTTTTTGAAAAAAAAATAATCCATTTTTTTATACGCCCTTTTCAAAAGTTACTCTGGAGGAAAAAATCTAATTTAAATGAAAAATGCAACCATTAGTAGCAGCGAACACGTGAGCAATGTTTCATTCAAATCAGAAGGGGTCGAGACAAAATTGACATTTTTTTTAACGATTTGAGCTAGAAATGCTCAGTATGTAACTATCACCCAACCGGGGGATGTAAGATTCGCTTACAAGTATGTGGGATTCATCATCAGAGGATGTTAGTGGAGACCGCATGAACCGAGGATGTGATATACCTAGCTGCGGTCCAATGCAAGAAAATTCGAGACCGCAAATTGTAGAGTGTATTAGTGAGTGAAATTAGTTATGTCGAAAAAAATAGGAACTAGATTGCCGACTGGACTCGAACAACCACGAAAGTTGCGATTATCAGACCTGTGCTTTCTCCACTGCTCTCTCCATGCTCTGAATATGGATAGCCTAAAAGCAAACACGAAGCGCTCATTTTCTCGCATAGGTACTCGACTTCGTATACTTTTTCTGCTGGAGAGATTCGATGCAAGCGTGTGCGTTGTTCTACAATGTTCTACAATGTGCGTCGTTCTACAAGCTTACTGGTATAGTCGAAAGCGTAGATAGAACACGAAATAAAAAAGACAAAAAACCATTACATCGCCTGCATGGTCAATTTCTAACATTCGTTGCGATGTTCATCAACAGAGGATGATAGGAAACGGAACTAATATTCATTGTAATAGATTTTTGGTTTGCGTGAAAACACTTCCTAAACAAGTCCTTCCAATGAAAATAAGTTGATTTATTCATTGAATAAGTTCTTGAGCAACCCTATACCTGAATACACAGATCTACAAGCTTTGGCTTTGTTAGTCGATACTAGCCTATATATCGAAGTCGCAATACATCAAAATACGGTATCGTTCCAGGGAAAGGAGAGCAAGCATTTATCCGCCATACTATCGAGTCCTTGCTGCAAAAAAATTCTGCTATACGAGCGGTAACTTCATCACGGTTAGCGATGAGGAAGAGGAAGTGAAACTCTTCTGGATCATACTTCATCATGGATGGTAGATGCAACGAAAAGAATCTAACCATTTTTTCGGGTGAATAACTGTTGGAAATTGTACTTTCGGTAAAGTGGGTGATGGGTGGAGGTACTAGCTCAGAGTATAATCATACACACTAAAAAATAACTAATTTTACACGTGACGGAATCCGTCCGTGACATAAAAGATGAAACGTAAACAAACATGTCATGTAATATTAAGTGCTCCGTGAAAGTACGAAAAGTACGTTTGATTGAGCTATATTTCGCCTCTGTTTTGACTCAAATTTATGTCAAAATTGACGCTCGTGTATGTCATTCTCAGAGCACCCAAATGTACAAGTGTGTATGTTTGAAAACGATGATGGAATAAAAACGGATGCCAGAAATTTCAGCACCTCATTAGTACCCATCGGAGCACAGTCATATGGGAAAATATTGCCCCAAAACCCTCGCCCGTCGTCAACCACACATTTAAATTTTTTCGCCGAGATTTCAACAGCCGAGTAGTTCGGCAATTTATTTTGCTGAGATTCGGTAAAACATAGAATTTTGCTGAGATCTCAGCAAACAAACACATATTTTGCAGAGATATCAGCAAAAGTAAATGCCAGATAATCTGCTGTTGCCAGATAATCGAAACTTACTGTCCAAGAGAAGGAATATAAGGAGAAAAAATTTCATCGTTTGTACCTACAATAGTTGAGACAAATTGACGTACAATTCGAATCAAATCTATACCAACAGTTGAAATAGGCGGAACAACCAAACATAAACCAAGACTTTAAGCCAAGGGTTTGTTAAGTTGGTAGAAATCTGTAGCCAACATAGTTTGATCACAGATCATAGCACTCCATGAAATAAAAAAAAAATCATCATTGATGTTTTGACAGTTTTCTCTCTTTGTATTGTTGTATTCAGTAGAGCAGTGGAGCGTTGTCCACTTCACGATGCACCTTCCAATGCCAGCCACCAGAAAACACTTCGCTGTTGTCCGATTTTCACCGCTCGCGTGATTCCTAATAACCGTTTGAAATGATATAAACTGAACATTTAATTTGTCCTACCATTCCACAGCCAATTAAAACAAAATGATACCAATTAGTAACATCACTATCGTCGAGCAGCTAGAAATCATCAACCAAATAAATGAAAATCGTTCTAAAATCCATAGCTACCGCGAGCAATCATCGAGATGGTTGGTTTGTCAGCTCTACTGTCTCTTGTTGCAAGTAGGGATAGGGATGTCAGCTCCCTGCTTTAAACCAAGGGACTGTCATGCCGCCATCTTTTCGTAGGCAGCATAAAAAAGTGAAAACAAAGCAATCAAAGCTAGGCCCAAGCCGGTTATGCTCACTATGGCTACTTGTTATTAGTAGAGATAGGGATGCCACTTCCCTGCTTTAAACGCAATCTTCTAGAGAACCAAAACAGCAGCTTTATCAATGGTATTGTTAGTTTGCGTGGGTGTGTTTTGATTCTCGAGAAACTTGCGTTTAAAGTCATTGGTCTAGACATATTGTATGCTCCGCAGTGTTTAGAAAATCATTCTCAAATCTCATTCATTGAGCCTCCCTGCGAGAATAAACTCGCGTGTGAATGTTGCAAACAAAATTCACGCTTGAGATTCTTATGCATATTCACACACTCACACTTATAATGCCGAAAAATTATTTCAGTTTTAAACTCATAAAAACCATTCAAACATCAATTGATAGCATGCTTATGCATGTTGTGTTAGTTTTCCAACCCCTGATGCACAAACAATAGTACTATCAAGCAATGAATTTTTGAACCTGAAAACTCATCGGTGATTTTTACGACGTTGAATTTTGCAAGGCAAAATTTATAGGCATAAACTAATGCAAGAGATTTGAGTTTTTGAGTTGTGCCGAACACTGCCGTCACTATGGTCGACGAAATGATTTGTGCGGCGGTTACTGAAACAACATAGCTTAAAGGTAATATTTAATTTGTAGTTAATTTATTTTAAAATATAGTTGTGGCCTTAAATCGGCTTTTATATCTTTTTATCAGGTGCTATATATGAAAACCCAAACTGTCCGAAATGAACAACATCGACATAGTGCGTGAAAGAATTCGATTTTTAGAATATTATCTATATGTGGCATAACGATTGAAAAATAAGAAGTGGCAATCTCGTGGAGAAGACAAAGTAAAACTATCTGAATGGAAAAATAATAATACAGAAACTATTCAATATCGAAATGGGCCAAAATGTTGATAAACCGCACTGAGGATCTGAAGGGTGATTTTACCCACCCTATTGTGCTTGTTATCAAGAGGCTCTCTTGAGTTTCACGGACACATAAAGATTATCAAGATATCCTTCAGACTGTAGCTTAGCATAGTTTGAAAACCATTAAATACCTTATTGAAAACATTCCATGATGTGTATTTGCCAAGAAGCTCTGTTTAGCTTCACGGACTCAAAGATTTTAAGAATTTTGCTTAAGGCATCATTGGGCCAGTAGAACTTCTAGATTTTAGCGACAGAATAGTTTGGAGAGCATTTAATATTTTATTGATACAATTTCATGATGAACATGTTGTCAAAAAAGTTGATCAGCCATCGAAAAACTTATGCACAAGCTTCGAGAAGATATATTTTCCTTGATTTGTTTTCCGTCGATCTTGTTTTCCGTTCTAAGTACCAAAGCTACTGACGCCAAGGCAGTTCCCACACCTGACCGAAGGAAGGCGTGATCAGAGATTTTATGCATCAGAAAAACCGACGGCACCGACTGAGATTGAACCCAGATGCTTTGGGATGAGTGGCAGTCTTTCGAAAAGATGATATTTGATACTAATTTGCCATCAACTTGCAAACTAATTTTCCTAATTATTAATTCCCAAGGTAACACAAGCTAAACCTAAAATTGAGTGTCTAACATTCGGCATGTTCCTAGTGCCCTACGATAGTGACCAGAATATGGAATGAAGCTATTATTATGCGAGAAAGGCACTTGTCACCGGTGGGTGGATTAATATGTTTTTTTTAGAATTCCTGTAATTCTCTTCACATCCCCTGTGGATGTCTCCTCAGAAGATCTAAATCAGAACTACAGTAGAATTTAACCAATGTTACTATAACTACTATTTCATAGTTTTATCCTTAGCATTCCCTAATTAATCTTCCGTGTTCTCCAAACAATAATATTCTCCTTAGAGTTTTCTTGGAAATGATTTCAGACACAGAAATCCTTAGAATTATTATAGTCATTCTCTTGGAATCCATGTCAGAAGCTCTTGAGAGCTCATGTCATAATTTTATTATGGAACTATGGTCAGAAATCCCTTGAAATTGTCATTTGAATTGTTCTCAGTTTTTTCATACTATCCCAATGGAATTCTCTTGTGTACTTTTACACATAATACCCTTGAAATTTCCTGAAATTCCCAAAGCCCAAAGCCCATTAAATTCTTTTCAGAATAATCTTGATATTCTCCACAGATGGTCTTTACATAACTCCCAAGGAGTTTTCTGCAGAATACCCTGGGAATAATGCGCATTGGTTAGAAGTCGTCGAAGAGTTGCTAGGCAGAAAATATTTGAATTCGTTTTCAGTATCCCCTCACTGTCGCTGGTTATATAGCAGAACCATGTTGGAGTGTGTTGACTTTCAAGAAAAAGTCTGAACCCCGCCGGTGTTTACGAATTCGTTGGTTAAGACACACTGGTATCTACAATAATAAACATTTATTTGAAACACAATCACTGAAGTATTTCATCATAACTCTTAGACTAACATTGTAGAAAGAATTTTTATCGTTTAAAGCTTTTTAATTTTAAATTATGTCCTTAAATTGCTACATGATGAGCTTTCACCAACTTAACTTGAGTGCTATTTATTTATTAACCAATCCGCCATCGCAATACTAACCTGCATTACCCAAAAGCTTGGTGATGGCACGATCTGATCACCTATTGTATCCATAAAATTCAAACCTCCTGATTGTGCCGATCCTCGTCTGCGCCCTGCTGCGTCCTCCGAAAACCACGCAGCCTTTCAAAATGTTTCTTTCCCAGCAAAACACGCACAATACAACCCTCTTATACTATTATGGACCACCACTTGTCACTGAGCAACAATAATCATCAATTGATCTTCGCAATCCTTTCTTGTCTTCAGTTTGAGAGGCCTTCGCTTATTTTCTCACACCACTTTAGAAAACATTCACTCGACCACCGATCTGCTTCCATTTATCATCAGCGCATGAAATCACATAATTGATCCATGAATAGCACTCTTTTCCTTTTCCATTCACGTGTTTCCAAAATAGTATTACTATCAATCACCGGCTTGTTTTATGCTCAATTTTCACGGACAACCGGTGTTAGGTTCCACTGCCGAATAATAATACACCGGCACCAATCTTCACTTGCACCACTTACAACAACTCGTTAATAATCGTGAATAATTGCTGGAACCAATTCGATCATTTCCGCACTAGAGGTTCAGGTAAAGATGAGCTTTGAAAATCCACACTCGCCGAGGGAGGTCCCCGTACGTGCCGCTCCGTAGCCAATAAGGCGCTATATTGCACTTGAGCTTCTCACACGTTGATCTAGATCAGCGAACCCACAGGTTTACTTCCTCTCGCAGGCAGCGCACGGAACACCAGGCACTATAAACCCGACCGTTGTCGTTAATTGGACGCGTGGGTGGATGCGAATGTCAACTCCCTCACTGAGCCACGTCTCACACGACGCGCCAAATAGTCAACGAGCAGCGCGCGAGACTTTAACGCAAGTAAAGAGCGGAAAACCTTATCCCAAGAATTCAACAACAATCACTTGGATCATGCGCACCTAAGAAGCACACACGTATTAACTCACCGATAGTCAACACGACACTGAGTCCCGGTTAGCCGCCGCACTAGGTTCGTAGGTCCTCGCAACGAACGTGTTTCTCGCTCATCATCATGAAAGTGAGCGGCGGCTCGGCGGCTCATTTAGCTCAAACCGGGTTGAGACTCTCGTTTACCTGTTCAGCGTGTGCCATTGTCGATGAGGGTCTCTCTTTTTCTTGCGTGTTTTAGATTTTTGTCTGACCGTTCTCTTTCGGTTGGGTGGTGTGTGCTGTTAGTTGGAAAGAGACCACTATAGTATGAAACGAAACTTCATTCATGCCTCAAAAGTCAGCCGGTGATCTACCTACCGATGATGATGATTCGCTGTATGAAGGCGGAAAGAATGTTCGTCTGAACGAGAGGGGAAGGAGCCATAATTTGCTGGTTGTGTGGTCTCCATAAAATGTTTGCATGTTTATTTTCGCTTGTTGCTTCCTTTCGCTTCTTCTGTCTTCCGTCAACTTCTTATTGACGGATCGAAGAACTTTATTCCATACGTATTGTGCATTATTTGTTCCAGAATGGCTGCTGACTGCCGATTGGCTACGCACTCGGGAAAAACTAATTTAAGAGGTACAAGATTTTACACGTAGATGTATACACTCAAAAGATTTTCAAATCAAAATAGATTAAAAGTTACGCTAAATCGCAACTCTCCTGTCCGACGCATAGCTTCCCGCATAAACGCGAACCATAAATTGACCTAATAAAATGGTTAAAAATTGTTTATAATCCCTGCTAAACTTTAACTGAAATGGTTATGGAACTTTACATGAACGTTTAATGATAAAGTTTCAACCTTATGTATTATGGTTTTTTGGAACTGGACCTTACAAATAATGGGTTGTTAAGAACCATTACCATTCCAAATTCTTGTTTTCTCCATACATTTTGGGAAAGAGAACTATATTAGAACCTTTTAACTTATGGTTTGAGAACTTTAATGGTAATGGTTATGGTAGTCAGTAAGGTCCACGAATGGTTTTGTAACATCGATCAACTTTATGTGGAATATATCGCGAATTGGTTGCCTGTAATTGACTGATTACCAATTCGCGATATATTCCACGTAAAGTTGAGCGATAATACAAAACCTTTAATTGTTGTAGTTTTATTCTTAGAAATCTGCATATTTAAACCATATAAAATAAAGAATTTTAACATAAACTACTCTAAAGTCTGGCACGCGCAAAAATTGGTCAACTTCAAATTGGTGTATTTCTGTTAAAAATGCATTAAAAAAAACCTGAAATGCTGCATTTGGAAGTTAAGTGTACATACAATGATGAGTTTTCACCGTTTGCTCTCCAGTTTTCAAAATGACGTCCAACCAAGAGGAACAGCGTGTCAAAATTTTGCTCGCGCAGCAAGAGAATCCGACGTTCTCACATGCCAAGTTGGCAAAATTGCTGGATGTGGCAAAATCGACCGTGACAAACATTTTAAAAGTGTTCGGGGAGCGTCTGTCGACCGCCAGGAAGCCTGGAAGCGGCGGCAATCGTAATCTGGACGTGGCAGCGACGACGAAGAAGGTGGTGGTGAAATATAAGCGGAATCCTAACCCCTCCATCCGGGACGTCGCTGGCAAGCTCAATGTTTCCCATACTAATGTGCAGCGGACCAAGAAACGAGCCGGGTTGTCGAAGTTTAAGAAGGTGAAGGTGGCGAACCAAGATTACAAACAAAACACGTCGGCAGAGCAGCGGTCTCGAAAGATGTAAACGAATCTGCTCACAAAATTCGACTGTGTCGTCAGGGACGGCGAAACTTATGTGTAGGCGGATTTTAAGCAGCTTCCGGGACAGAAGTTTTATACTGCATCAAGAAGAGGAAAGGTGGCTGAAATTTTCAAAACCATCAAACTATCGAAGTTCCCGAAAAATACCACGGCCATACGCACGTGTGATCTAAAAAGCAGCATTTTAATTACTACGGGAACCATCAATCAAGAGATCTACGTCCAGGAGTGCCTGAAAAGCGGCTGCTACCATTCCTAAAGCAACATAATAGACCTGTGCTGTTCTGGCCGGACTTGACGAGCTTCCACTATGGGAAAAAGGCAATCGAGTGGTACGATGCGAACAACGTGGCTGTGGTACCCAAAGACCACAACCCTCGCAACAGCCCAGAACTCTGCCCTATCGAACGGTATTGGGCCTCGGTTAAACGGAATCTAAAAAAAAAACAAATAAATCCATGGAAAACGAGCAGCAGTTTAAATCTAACTGGCGTTCGACGGCGAATAAGGTCGATGAGACCGCTGTGCAAAATTTAATGGAAGGGGTTAAACCGAAGGCACGGCAATTCGGATTTGGCAATCCAAAAGAATAAGAGGTCATTTTTTCCTTTAAACATATGAATTGAACTACCAAAAGAAAAAATAAGAAGATTTTTGTGATATGAATTTTGACTGTAAGAAACATAAGTGACGACTGAGTTCTTTCTCGTTTGAAAACGAACGCTAAATCAAATATTGGAACGAATATTGGAATATGTGCGTCTTTATGTGGGTGTTATCAGGTTATTCGATTTGGTGAACGTTTTTTTTTGGCAGATCTTCTTCTTCTTCTTATTCGCATTTCAAGCTTATTGCTTAGCGCATATTAACTTATTGCATGCTCTCACTCAACTTAGTGTTCTAAATGGATTTCCACAGTTATTAAATGAGAGGTTTCGATGCCAAAACTAATTCATGAATTTGTTTATTGTGTGGCAAGCACAATGATACTCTATGTCCAGAGAAAGATTCCCTCGACCGGACCAGGAATCGAACCCGCCGCCTCCGGCTTGGTAATACCGTGCCTTTACTGACTAGGCTATGAGGCCGGATCTTAATTTTTTCCACAGATTTCACACTTGTACTACGGTTTCTGTTTTGAATGAACCAGCATGTTCTGACAAAGGGTTTATACACCAGGATTACATCTGCATTTTACACCGAATCAACGTAAAATTGCATTTCATACATATACGGCTTTTCCGAGCTTTGGGGTGCTCTGTAAGCTTTGCACCTGTCTAGAACTTCTGGTGTACAATGCAATCAACCAGTTTTCCATCTCCCTCCGTCAGATGGTGCCGAATCCTTTGCCGTTACCGGCAGCTATTCCCACCTGGTACAACGTTCGATTGTGGAACTCATTTTGAGAATGTCAATGAATATATTTATAGAGAATGGGCTAGGTCAGAAGAATTCTATTTTGTAACTCACCTCATCTCACCTTAGTCTCACGTGGTTTCCAGCGCCCATCTGTCGATCCGTTCTACTCATTTCCCCCGTACTAGTTCCGAGTATTGATCTCGTCAGTAGCTTGCGGTTCAATATGCAGAAGAAGTCCACTGTGGTGAGTGGTGACACGAACTTGATGGTGATACCGGACGAACGAATTCAGATTCATCAACGTCATAATGTACTGGAACATCTACTAATACACTAATACTAATAATACACTATACTATTAAATTGTACGCAGTTTGAAATATCTGGAGAATCCTGAAAAATGATCAAGTCAACTTCAGTTTAGATTTATAATATTCTTAAAAGAAACCAAACTTTTCTTTAAAATGTAATGTGTCGTAAATTTAAAATATGGATTGGCTCAAGCTAAGTAATTCGCATCTCAAAGAGCCGAACCAGCCTTTAGACTGAAAACCTCCTAAATAAAGAAGCAAAAAATAATAATTAAAGTTTGGTTTATTATTTATACATTTACGACATAGACCTCCCATTAAAATTTAAAGATCAGGCCTTATTATGGAAGTCGAAACGAAGCGTTTTTCGTATGAATGCTTGTATGAAAACAGTCGTTTCGACTTGGTTCTATAATGTGTCCCCAGTTAATGGGTAGAAAGCGAGTTGCATCACTCAGAGATGAGCACCGCAACAATGATCTTTTTTTTTTTATAAACAAGCAGCTTTCCTAGTGTTTCTGAATTTTCCTGGGTACTGAACTCTATATTCATGTAAGCAAAATAGTAAATAATTAATTTGAAGGTCTTAAATAATCGCGCTGAAAGAGATATCATGATGATTAAAAATGGCAATGGAAGCATAAGTCGAAACAAGGATAGTTTCCAAAACCTAGTGTAAATTTTAATCTTACTCAAATACAGTCAATCTTCCTTTTCCCCCAGAGGGTATCTAGACTGCTTCGACCAGATTTTCCATGCACATTTAGGTACTACTACTCGAAATCATTTTCTATTTCATTGTTCGCTTGAAAATCTCGACACTGAGCATGCATAAACGCGATGATCGATTCTCTTCGTCGATTTTCTCTTTGGTAATAACTTGCTAGAATTAACGTGCGTTTGCAGTTGCTTTTGATAGCCAATACAACCTGTTACAACTCTGCATTGAACAAATTCTAGAAAATTGTTTCGCTTAGCTGTAGCAATGCTAAGAGAAAATCGATGAAGAGAATCAATCATTGCATGTACGCTCATATTCATGCTCGCTGTCGATCTTTAAGGAGATGTTTCTGGAGCAACAATAGAAAAGGCTCAGGGCCCATGCATTAATTATGTCACACTAAATTGAGGAAAAATTTACCCCCCCCCCCCCTATCGTCAGAGCAAAAGCTCGCAGGCATGAGGCAAATTGCGACCTAAAACGAATAAAACTTATCATGTTGAGGTGTCACATTAGAATTAAAAATAAATAAAACCCTAGAATCCAGTCAATTACCGGAAAGCCTTAGGAAAGTAGCCAGTTTTAGACTTTGATCAAAATCCATTATGGGACGATTCAAATCACATGAGAATTCATCTACACAGCAAAAAAAAAAGTAGTGTAAATTTTCGTTACTATGATGCACATAAATGGAGCGTCATATATCATACAAGTTTAGATTATAGATCGTGTAAATTTATGAGACATGCCATGCAATATTCCATATATTGTATGCAACTGTCCACTTTTGTTTGCAACATTTCTTGCAAGCTGCTTGTTTACGTGAAAAGGACGTTGACATGTATGAATGTTTGCATGC